GCCCTCCTAAATGGAGCGCCTACCCCTTAAACCACCACTAGTTTGCAGTAGATATGGTACGATAGCGGGGCAAGTTTGGACCACAGTTACTCGAAAGTGGCTAATAGCAATACAAGTAAGCTATTTTAAACAGATAAATAAATGATAAGCATCATAATCTTGAATGTTCTGAAATTATTCCTTTGTTCTTCAAAGCTTCAAAACATCAAAGGCTCATAGAGCTAAAGAATGCTACCTACCTCATTGTTGAGGCTGACATGTCAAATGCTATTAATACATAGATATGAAGTAGTTGCAAGCAAGCCTGTTTAAGTAGTTACTACTACAGAGCTGCTCTGTATTGTTCAAGTGATGTTTCCAATAAAAATTCAAGTGGAAAATGCTTTACATATACTAACAGAGATCATCTCAATGAAGGTCAATATAAAGTGCAGTCAATAATCAATTTGTAATCAAACTGGTATCTAGACTTGGGGAGTTTTTCCAGTCTCTTTATTATAATTTTCACCTTTGTTTTCCTTTGGGTAAATTACAAATATACCCTTTAAGATTTGCTTAAAATACGAATTGTCCCCTGTGGTTTGAAAAATTACAAATACTTCCCTGTCAGAATTTTTTATTTAACAGAATTAATTGAAAAAGTGAAATTTCTAACTATTCACCTGTACAATAATAAAATTATATGAATTATTAATTGAAATAAAATTTTAACATTATTAAAAATTATTAATTAACTTGATGATTTATTAATAAAAGGACCTATTTGTTATGAAATTAGAAACCTTAGGGGCCGTAATGTAATTTCTAAAACCACAGGGGCAATTTGTAATTTAAGTAAATTTTAGGGGGGTGTTTATAATTTACCCTTTTCCATTCCAAGGTAAAAGAGAGGAACTAATGAAACCAAGGAGGATTATTTAGATCAAGAACTGCAGGGAATGCCCATGAGATTCTCTTATAGAATTGAGCTCAAAGTCACTGACTGATATAATTTCAAAAGGAAACTTTGGCAAGGATGATATGGACATTGGTCTTTGAAGGAACTCTTCTAAGCAACGGCAAAATCAAAGTTGCAGTGAAGCATCTTGATGGCTTAGGCCATGTCAAGAAGTCTTTTTCTTAGCTAAACAAGTCAAGATAATAGGCAGCACTAACCATCTGAACTTGGTGAGATTGGTGGAACATTGTGTTGAGAAATCACAGACTTTTACGACTTGTTTGGTAACTATTTCATTTTCAATTTTCAGTTTATATTTACAAAAATTTTAGAAACTGTCATAAAAACTTGTTTGATAATTTTTTGGAATACTTACGTGTAGGACCTAATAAGTGGACTTATTATCTAATAGGTCCTATGAGAAAAATTTGTCATAAAAAAACTTTAGTAATTATAAGTTTTGGGGACAATTTATAAAAATCATGACAAAAAAGTCACTAATTGTCAATTTTTAGTGACATATATAAAAAATTGTCACAAAAAATTTATTTTTAGCGATAATTTTACCCAGACATAATTTCAATAGGACTTGATGGGAATTGGGTTAAACTATTACGACGTATTGGTAGTTTACCCTAATTTTTTTGGTTTATAAATGGTTGTCTCAGATTATAAATTTAAGAAAAAAATGTACGTTAATTTTTAAATAGAAATTTAAAAATTTGACTAATAATTTTTTTTTTAATTAAATTTTTTTTGTTCAAATAATTTTTGCTACCATGACTTGTTAGTCAAATTGCATAGTTGGAAAATGTTGCTATCATGACTTGTTAGTCAAGTAGACAATAGGCATTATCATAGAAAGTGCATAGTTGGAAAAAGTTTTGCTACCATGACTTGTTAATCGGTGGGTCAACATATAAAGAAGAATTAATAAAAATTTAAAAAGATTAATTTGTGGCGTGCATCTTGGATGGTCGACTTATGACTTACTCTGATTTTTCGTGGGGTTTGGTTTTTTTTTTTTTTTTAAAAAAAAAAAAATTATCATTTAAACAAAAAGGTACAATTTTTAATTGGATGGTAACTTATCATATTTAACTTAAAATTCAATTTTTACGTTAGTAAAATGTCAATAATGAGTGAAATCTTACATCATGCATTGCTTGAAAGGTGCAAAATCCTGGGATGACTTGGCCATTAGATCAATTAAACTGTCGACTAAGGTTCATAAGAAAATTTTAAAAAAATTTAGTGTTGAAGACTGTAACTTTTTAAAGATTTATTTAGATAAAATCTTATTTTAATATTCAGTTTAAGACATCTAATAATCTTGGGCCACTAGTGATAATATCATAAAATTTCTCAAATTAGTATTTACAAAAATAGGATAATTTTAACTAGTGTGGAATGATTTTTATCATGTGGTGGGTCAAACTCAAAAGAAAATAATGTTAAAAAAAGTTTAAATGTTATTTCTGTGCAAGTGCAGTAGACCACAGAAATTCTAGAGTTGGAAAAAATAATTAATGCCACATGATTCAGACACTCGTTTTATTGGTGGAATAATACACAAAATATAATTAGTATAAAAATTTAAAATTCATATTTAAAGCAATGTATTGGTTTTATCTTACTCTCCGTGTATTTGAGTGAAAAACATTTTTAAATGATGGTGAAATGAAAAAAATATTTTTCTGTATTTAGTAATGGTGGTTGTGAGACCATGAAATATCCTCTCATATAGATGTTGTAGAGAACCAACGAAGAAGAGAACTTCATCCCTGTATATCTACAATGATGAACATAGTCGGTGCCACCCAACCGGGGTTGCCAGTTGGGGACACTCCGATGATGAAATTAGTCTTTTTATCGAAGAAGTAAGTAGTATATATATTTGAAGGGGTGTATGTTCTGCAGAGAGAGATGAGACCTACCTCCCACTTGGGATGCCCCCCCTTTATATAGATGGGGGTGTGATATTTATTTGGGCTGGACCCATTGTAAGCTTTGTTTGGGTTAGGCCCAATAAGCTAGTACCTATAATTTTCTAGCTCCCATAATTGTCCCAAAACTTTAATTGTCTTCGGTAGAAGGAATGAGAGTTTTTATTGCCGGGTTATGCTATTCAAATAGATGTTAAGTCCTTTGACAAAGAATACATTTGATAAATGAATAACATAAATGAATGAGTGGCTAGATGAATGCATGTATGTATGAATGTATGTATGAATATAAGTATATAAAGGAGAGAGGTGAGCTAAAACCCAGTGAGTAATACTATCTCTATAATGGTGGGTCACGGTATTATAACCCCTGAGCAAGGGTGTAGTATATTGCCAAGTGCAAAGATTGCTTCCAAATATGGATTTTCGTGCCGAGCTAAAAAATATTTCTATATGCCGAGCACGGAAATGATTGCCTGAACCAAAGAAGGCAAATTAAATAAGGTAGATATATCAGCCAAAAAATGCACCACGGTATTATTACCCCCGGGCGTGGGTGTAGGCCTGCGGTATTATTTCCCCCGGGAGAGGGTGTAGGCCTGCGGTATTATTTCCCCCGGGCGAGGGTGTAGGCCTGCGGTGTTATTACCCCCGGGCATGGGTGTAGGCTTTTGTTGATGGCGCATCGTGCCGAGAGCGAAGATTACGCTGTACTCGGAGACTTTTGCTAATTGTAAGTGGCAACCAAGCGCCAATATGGCAAGGACTTTGAATAATGCATCCTATACCGAATAAGGTGGACGTGTTAATCACCAATAATATTGCCTCGCTTGTAAGGAATTGCCAAGTAGCTATTGGGCCAACTATTTAATTACCGAGTTGCTCGGATTACGTTTCGTCCAAGGTAGACTTGCCCCATTGCTTTCGAATGACAGGTGTTAGTCGGAAGGAATGCAGATTCCCATTGCCCTATGTTGCAGGGAAGATTCGGCTTTGGTAAAATGACGGCGCATAACAATGTGCGAACTGCTAACTGCAAAATGCGAATTGTCGACTGCCAAGTGCGCCGACTGCCAAGTGTGTAATGTATTGCCCCAAAACTGGCGCTTGCTTGGAGCGGTGTGAAAAGGAGCGAGAGTGTGTAACTCAAGTAAATGTCGTTGTAATGTTTGTACCAAGTTGGCCGAGTATGTATGCATATCAAAGGTGCCGAGATGATGATCAGCTGATGTGCCTCAATTGGAAAGCGGAAAATTGACTAAGATGTCCCAGTGGGCAATTGTTTTGCCAAATAATGTTGTTAGGCGAATAAAGTTGCCGATTACGGTGGCCAATGCTGCTGCATAAAGTTTGACAATGGATAAAGTTGACCAATAATGTTGTTTAGCCGAAGAAAGTTGATGCACGACCGAACAATGATCATAATGTTGAATTAATAATGGTGCCGAAGAATCTTGCCGAGTAAAATTGATGCACTACCGAGTAACTAGTGTCAAAACATCGGTGTCCGTTTCGTACATAATGTGATTTTGCCAAAAAGTTGGTCGGCTATAATTGGGTTGGTGATTGTGCCGATTTTTTGGTCGACGATTTTTCTTAGCTTCGCGGTGTGTCGGTATCCCTTTAGAGTTGGATTTGCTAAGAACTTGGTTGGCAATGGTTGCCAATTTATTGAAGTTGAGTTTCTTGTCCAACGTATATTTGCCCCATTGCTTTTGAATAAGATTTGTTATTCGGAAGGAATAAAATTGACTTGGGCCAAAATTGCTGAGTAGGCCGATAACAATTTGAAACGAATTCCGTGCCCGTTTGGTGCCGTGGCGATATCGGAATGAAGCCGAGACAAAGTAGGGTGCTTGGTGATATGCGAAGTGAGCCATGGCGCTCAATTTTTGAATAAAATCTACAATTTTTTTTGAGATGAATTTGCAAATTTTGACCTTATGGATGTACCCGAAATGCGTCAAATAGCTGGAAAGGACTATTGGATCGCTGTGATCAGACTCCTGATGGCGTAATTGTAGCCAAAATATATCTAACGGCTCAGATTGATTGAGACTTTTGCTCCGCAAATCACTGGATAATTTCCCTCAATGTGATGCCATATGCAAAAAAAATATAAGTGAAATCGTTGTCTATGAGAGTTAAACGCGTTCCCTAGGAATAAACAATGCTCAAACCACTGTGCCACAACAAAGCCTTGTGTTTAACTTGCACAAATTATATATTTGAACTAATTTTTGTTCAGCTACTGTCTTTATATCAAAACAACGGGATGTAGCTTAGCCACGATGCACCGTATAATTTCTTTTATTTTCCATGCAGACTCTGGTCGTCTTCTTCTACAGAATATGTGATTTTCTGGACAAATTTCAATTGGCTCGTACGGCTTCGTTTTAGCTCCGATTTCGACGTGGTTTGTTGCGTTGGACTCGTCTCAATGAGTACTTCACATTGGTATGGTCAAAACTTGAGTTTGATAGCTTTTGAAGTTTCATTTCTTGGCATGTGTGATCCATTTCGCAACTTTCGGCAGGCTTGGGTTGCTTCTTGGCTCCTCGGGTTGGTGGGTTTGGACTCTTTGAGCCGATACGAGTCCTGTGGTATGTTCAAATGTGGATTTCGGCAAGCCGGGATGTTAATTCTATGCCGAGATATTAGTGCCGACTAAGTTACAACGTTGCCGAATATTGTTGCGAAAGAATATTGTACTGGAGTCAAAGAAAGTGCCCAATAAGAAATGTTGCGGAGTAATTTTTGCCCAATAAATTGCCGAAGCCAAATAATATTTCCAAAGCCAAGTTGATAATATGACACGCCGAATTGCAGAGGATAGCAATGTGATGATATTTAGTGTATAATTCAAAGTTGATAAGCAATGCTGAAGCCGAATAATATTCCGAAGCCGAGTTGACAATATGACACGCCGAATTGAGAGGGTAATTTATAAGTAAATTGGGCCGAGCTGAGTAAAAAGGTCCTAGAAGTTAGCCCGGTCCAGAAAGAGCCTTGTAGTTAGCTCGGTCACCACAGTCAGAGTAGGGGCAGTTAGCTCGGTCGTACCATATTAAGCCGAAGTATGTTGAGCTTTCGTCAGAATCGTGCTATGGATTAGTTCGGTCCTAGCTCGGAGTGGTTAGCACGATCTCAACAGCCCAGTTGGAATATGTCAAACTGAGGTACACGCAGTAAAAGGAAGAACCGAGCTAGAACCAAAGCTAATACTTCAATGTGAAAATTTCTGATTTTGGATTGTCAAAACTAAGTGATAAGGACCAAAGCCAAGTTGTAACAATGATGAGGGGAACCCCAGGCTATTTGGCTCCCGAATGGTTCAGCTCAATTATCACCAAGAAAGTAGATTTTTATAGCTTTGGTGTCATGGTCTTGGAAATGTTGTGTGGGCGCAAAAATTTGGATAGGTCTCAGCTTGAGGAAGATATGCATCTGCTAGATCTTTTTAAGAGGAAAGCAGAAGAGGAACGACTTCTGGATATCGTTGATAAATACAATGATAACATGCAAACACATAGAGCAGAAGTTGTTGAGATGATGAGAGTTGTTGTGTAGTGTCTACAAAGTGATTTTTCCAGGAGGCCTTCCATGTCGGTGGTGGTTAAGGTCTTGGAGGGTTCTGTAGATGTTCAAAGCAATTTGGATTATAACTTCACAACTCCTATGGCACCAAAAGCAATCACAGTTCATGGTCACCAAGGGAATCACATTGGTGCTGCTACTACTTTATTTCCATCAGTTTTATCAGGACCAAGGTAATGAAAATACTCTATGAAAAAATTACAGTTGATTGGTTTGAGTCTTTTCTATTCCTTTCTGTCCTTTTTTTCTTTTTCTTGGACTGATAAGTTTTAGAATTTCGATTTAGTCTAGGAACATTGCAACACAATGGAATAAAATTGTCAAAACATGCCATGAAGGCTTAGTAAAGTTCCCTGTTCACACCATTCTAACTTTGTCTTGTGAGAATTTCACTAGTAAATCTAACAAGCTGGTTGCGGTTTGAAATTTGTACAAAACTTATCTGAGAGTTGTATTTCTACCTAATTTAGTGAAAGTTCTTGGTAAAATTGCATGTTCATTTACCCAGATCCTCTAAGGTCTTTTATGTACATATAATATAATGTAGTGAATATATAGTGAGTAGGGCCCTAAAAAATCTACTCTCCATCTCAAAATATTAATCCCTTATTCTATTTTTCATTGTTCCAAAATATTAGTCGCTTATTCTATTTTTCATTATCCCAAAATATTAGTCTTTTTTCACAAATCAAAGACTAAAATAACATGAATATTTTATTTCGTCATTTTTTTAAATTCATTAATTATGACAATTGATGTTCCCAAGAAGAAGTCAAAGGGTAGTTTTGAAAATTTAATACTTTTGAAGTATAATAATTGTACTACTAAAAAAAGTTGAATTCCCTAAGAGAGACTAACATTTTAGGACGGAGGGAAAACGACCAACATTCCTTCACTTCTCACATTTTTACCCCTTGAACTACCACTAGTTTGCAGTAGATATGGTACGATAACGTGGCAAGTGCGGACTGCACTTGCTTTATTTTAAGCATATAAATAATAAGCATCATAATCTTGGATGTTCTGAGATTACTCCCTTATCCTACAAAGCATCAAAATATCAGAAGCTCATAGAGCTAAACAAAGTTACATACTCATGAATACACAGACACGAAGAGTAGTTGCAAGCAACATGTTTAAGTAACTGATCTTGCAAGGCTACTCTGTTTTGTTCAAGTCAAGTGTCCAATAAAAATTCAAGTGGAAATGCTTTATATATACTAACAGAGATTATCTCAATGAAGGTCAATATAAAGTGCAAGTCAAGTCAGCAATCAGATTTGTAATCAAACTGGTAATTTAAAGAAGTGATCTGATCCACATTAAAGGGACTAAAAGAAATAAGGAAAAGCCAAAGAAAGGCATGGATGTGGTGAATACATCATAATTGCATTTGATTAAACGATTACTGCAGACTTAACTCAGAACATAACTTATCTACTTGAATTATTTTTTTTTTAATTTTTTATCAAGAAATTCTACTTGAATTGAAATTGACAGGAGTCTAAACAGTGCTCATAAATTGGGTATTTGATAGAACTTGGAGAGATTCAAACGTAAAGGAAAAAAATTATACCTTCAACTTCAAACAACACAGAAATATAGCAACAAATACAGCAAAATAGATGCCCAAAAAAAATACAGCACAGCACCAGATGGTAATTCAGCACAACAACAGTCTTCACCATTCGCCATTCACCTACATATACATATATATAATCTTCACCATTCACCTACCATTCATATATTCAAGATTTAAATCAACCATTCAGCCATTCAACTAACATTCAACAAGTCAACCATTCACCTAACATTCAACTGAAAAAATGCCACCTACCCACCAACCATTTAACTAACAAAGTCCAAAATAATATTAATAAAAGTCCAAATAATGAGTCCACAATTAAAAGTCCAACATAGTCAATATTAATAAAAGCAAAAATTAGGAAATTCAGAACAGTCCACAATTAGTAAAATAAAAGTCCAACACAGTAGTCCACAATTAATAATAAAAGTCCTAAGAACAACCGAGCAGTCCACAATTAGTCGTGATAACCTGTGGTGGTCTTCTCCATCTCAATCTCCAACTTTAGAAACCTCAGCCGAACTTCATTCGTAGGAAGAGTTATGAAGCACTCACGACGCTTGACTCATAAGAATAATCGGGCAACCCATACATACAGCTCATCATCTGGGGATACACCAGGGATGCTTTCCAACTTCGCCCAACATTTTGCAATTGAAGGATATCTTAATGAGGTCTGTGTTAAAGTTGCTAAAGATGACTCAACCACGTTGACTATACGATCAAGTGTCTTGGTAAGTAGAGCTGCACCAGTAAATTTCTTCTTTCTCTTGCTCTTGGTTGATGAACCATCAGTATTTAATGGACGTTTTTTGTTTAACTCGGAAGGACGAACCACCTTCAAATCAGCATCATTAAGAAATTCAGCATCATGTGGGGTATGAAATTCCTCCACAGTCTCATCAGTGTGAGGCATAACCCCTGAGCTAGGAGTGTATGCCCATTCTCCTGTAGCAGCTGAATCTGAGAATAATATGTCTAAGTCTTCAGTGAATTGCAATGGCATACGCCGGAATTTAGCAGCATCAGGATATCTCTGCAACAATTACAAAGGAAAATTTAACAATTTCAAGTTACAAAATTTGGTCTGTTTAAACAAAAAAACAAACAGAATATGTACATTAAGCAATTCACTTACCTCCAATTTCTTAGTCCACCACTCATCAGATGCAGATATAGCTCCAGTCAATGTATCACGGCCTAAGCCTATCTTATCCCTTAACAGATTGTTCCACAAAAGCCAGTCTTTTTTCAACACATCCCAATGATTTTTCATTTGTATTCGTTGGTATGCTTTTCCAGTCATAGTTTTAAACTTAGTTATTGCATTTTCCCACCCGACCCTATCTAAGTGTGTATCAGGTCTGTGTCCAACCTTCACTTGCTCAACACAAAGCTTAAAAAAAATTTCTTTTGATTTTGCATCCTAGTGAGCTTTAACGAATGGTACTTGACTTGATTTTCCCTTGTTCTTCCTATTTTTAGGTTGTGTTTCCTCTTGGGTACTCATTCTATGAGAAAGAAAAAAAATTAAAACAAACTCATTCATCAGTGCTTGCATTACAATAGCTAGATCAGTACAAAATAACCATACATGGCAACTATGTCAACATTCATTGGGTACAAAGCTTAGTGCAATAGTTCATGGTAAACTACATTAGCACAAAAACACCAGGTATCTCTAAATGGCACCTGTCATCATTTGAAGAGTAACGCAACTGACATAACAATATGAATCGTGAGCAAACCCACAACAAGTTGCTTCATGAAAGCATTGGATTGCTCAAGCATTTGGTTCTTCACTTTTAGTCCTACAGTCTCCATATTTTGATTTTGATCAAGCATTCTCTCGTTCCTCAGCCTCTCTACCATCGTCACAGATTTTGGGGTACACCACCTCCAAAATTGACAATTTCTCTTCTCACAAATGAAATACAGTCTCCCTTTAGATGGTTTGTCAGACTCGGTAACCCTTATGGCAGCTCTTAGCCCACAATCACATTTCAAAGCCTCATACCTCAAGTCAAAGCTCTCACCACTAGAATAATTGTTACTAGAGGATGACATGCCTATGCATTAATTAGGAAATATTGAATCCAAATCCTCATTGGGAAGCTAATTGTAAATACATTGAACCCACGAAGTATTGATTGAATAAAATGTTTCTAACATAATGACAATTTGTTTGCACCCATTTGTTCCTAGAAAAATTGGAAGTGCACTGATCTCATTTCAAATGGGAGAGTTGTTTGTAATTATGTAATAAAATTATACCTATTCCAAGGCCTAGTCTCCTGTTCTCCTAAAGTAAAAGTTATACTTTTTTGTGGTGACAAAAATTATACACACAAGGCTTTCACAGACCCATACAAGATTTTCAAACATTTATGAAAAGATAAAGGCATTTCTTAACAAGAAAGGTAAAATTAATAAAGGCATTCACACCTAAGCATTAAGAAGTTTGAGATAATCCAATGCCTTTCAAGCCTATATTTTGAACTCCCTTTCTGTTTTTTTGACCGGGTAAAAATGCCAAAGATAAAGAATGTTTCGCACAAACTCTTCCAAGCCCCTAAGTAAATCCTTGTATGTCCATTCAACAGTTTCTCCATGTTTCAATCTGCCTTTTGCAAAGGATAACAAATAAATGGGCACAACAGTTTCTCCATGTTTCAACAGTTTCTCATGCTTAAACTCAGATTTCAAACTGATGAATCAACTTATTAAACAAAAAGTATAAGCTTCACAAATATATATTCTATTACAACTACTAAATTTTAATGTCCAACAATGAAAAACAAATGAAGCAATAAAAAAATGACCCAAAACAGTTTTAAAAACATGAAATCCATTAGGACAGGTAAAACTAAATCTTCAAAAAAGAAAATAAACATAATCAGCCTGAAATTAGTGAGTCGAACAATGATTATAGTTCCAACAAACATTCACAGAATCAGTGACCATAACTTTTGCAACATAATGTTGCTTTTTTTAGTCTAGTACTCCAAACCCATGACTCTCTCTCTCTCTCTCTCAAAGTCAAAAGGCACAACTATAATGAGCACAAAAATGCAGGATCGTCCTCAAAAAAAAAAAAAATTTGCAGGATCTCTAAATATGACATAGCAGAGGATTTAAGGCCACAAAACCAAATGCACATCAAAAAATTACCCTTTCTTTATAGGTGCACATCAAAGAAATATCATTGAAGAAGTTAAAACTTAAAAATAAAAAGATCTAAACTAAGAATTACGATCAAATTCTAAAATTTATTTATTAAAAAAAAATTCATTTTAAATCTGTTAAGGCCCCCCACCCACTTCTCTTCATCAACCCATAAATCCTAAGCCTACATGAACCAAAAATCAAAATCGATGACAGAGAGAGAGAGAGAGCAAGAGAGCAACCAGAAACCAAAAACAAACACAAACCCTAATCGGATTTGAACACAGAGCAACGAAAAATCAAAAAAAAAACCCTAAATCAATGTGTATTTCTAACATATATATATATATCTTGTGTGGGTGATTTTCTGACCACACTGCCCGCTTAGTAACCAGCTGGAGAGCACCGGCAGAATAGATGGCACCTGGCTGACCTGCAACAGAAAGAGAAGATTCCGGCGGTGGTTCGTCCACCCAGGGGCATTCCGACGATCAAGTCAGTATATCTCTCAAAGATAATCAATAGTTAAAATCACAAGCTTGAGTATCAAAAGCATAAAACTGCGTACCTTAGACCCACGGGGGTGCCTCTCTTTTATAGCCAACTTAATCCTGATCCCACTAGAAGCCTGACTTCTATGGACTCCCATTCAGTGCTTACTTAGGATTTCACAAGAGATAAAGATAAACTCCCTAAGAGCTTTATCCTTATCTTAGCAATGTTCCCTCTTTACTCTAGGACTCTTGCCTCTTATCCATTTATCTCGGATTCTGATATCTTCGGAGATAACCTCGGCCTTGCCGAGATAACCTCAGCGTTACAACAAGGACACATGGCACCTCACAATAGTAAAAATTTGAATCAAAATGGAAAATTTTTAAGTTTGGATGTTAAATTAAAAAATAATTATTTTAAAGATCAAAGAGAAATTTGATCAAAATTTCCCCATAATAAAACTTTCATTCATTGAGGACAATACAACAAAATTTATTTGAACAGTCCAATACATATTATTATTATCGAAATATCTTTAGTAACTAATTTAATATTTTAAAGAGAAAATTGTTGAAAAATCTAACCTAATGAGAGTGTAAGATATTAGACCCAGTAGATATTTTATATTGGTGAGAGATCCACCCTTTATAAAATAGTTTGGTAAGAACTCTATTTGTTTGTTTTGAAGGACATTTTATTTTCAATTTTATCCTTTAATTTATCTGTTTCTGAGTTTTTGCCATGA